AGTTGTTAAAGCGGGCTCTACCACTGTTAAAAATGATTTCATCATAGTACGGAATATATGCTTAATATTTTGAAATTAAATTCAAAATTGCCGCTTTATTCACTAGACGTCGCGCGCGACTCCTTCAGTGCAGTATTACAAAAAATAATTAATAGCCTGTTTTCTTCCAGAGTTATTTAATTGTGATCCGTTTAGCAGTTCTGGAGATAAATTCCATCTATACTTGCGCATTTATATTATATTTGTAACTAAATTCATAATAAAGAAATAAGTTATTTGGACTTCATTTATTTTATATAAGCTGTAAAAGATTATTTATGACAGCCATCCCGTGGCATTATATGGGAAAAGTCAACTTAAAAATCTAGATATCATAAAAATATATATTTTATTAGCATAAATGTCTATGGATTTAGGTTATTTATTGATTAATATTAAATTAAGATGTTTTTTATGACTTTAATCTGATTAATTATTCAATCAACAACAAGCAACACAATAAATTGGATAAACAACTTGTATAGGCTCTTTTTTAATCCACTAGTATTTTACAATGTTTGCAGCGCGGTGAATTACCATACCATTATAATGTTTGCTTTGACATTTATCAGTAAAATAGCTGTCGCCCGCGACCTCGTCCGCGGGAAATTAAAATAAAACTTTATTAGTAGCATATGTAATCTATTCTCAATATTATATATAGATATAATTTCTATTCAATTTAACTTCTTATAGTTGTATTAAGGTATGTTTTTGATTTATATTAATTTTATCTATGGTTACTATGTTTTGTATTAGCCCGCAAGCCCTTATGTTATATTTTACATTTATACTCATTGTAAGCGAAACTTTATGTTTTTTTGAGTAAATAAAGATCTTTATACCCTATGTACGCTGTCAGACTGTTTTTTACGTTTATACCAAATTTTAATAAGATCCATTCAGCCGTTCTGGAGATATCTTCTAACAAACATCCATCTGTCCATCCATCCAAAAAACTTATATCATTAGTAAGAACATGGTGCATTTTCCATTGCTCCGAGTTAACCTTGTTCTTGAGTATATACTTATGAACCATGTATTATAAATGAACTATTGCTATGAACTTTAACTAATAAATATAAAACAAATACTTAAATGCATTTTCTACACTTTGACGTATAGTCTGCAAAAAATACTTTTTTGAATTACCAAATCGCTTTTCACAAAATTGCAATTGTTTTAAAAAAAATATTAAAAAGAGACCGAATGATAAAAGATGTTCAAAATATTTATTTATTTTTGCATCTGTCTTAACTATTAATACAAACTTCATGTGTACAAACTTCATAATAGTAAGAATATTCGAAGTATTATTATTTAAACAATCACAAAAAATTATTCAAACTTTCGTGAGACATTATATTAAACTGGTATATAAACACGGCTAAACACTCACGTATATACGTCCGGTGGCGGCACCGACTAGTTTCGAGCCCATCGGCGGCCCTTCATCAGGATGAGTGGCACTGGTATTATTTCGCGGACGCGGCCCGTCGCTCACTACGAAACTAGTCG